GGGCTCCTTCTAGTGGCTGGTGCTGAGGGACGGCTGTCTCCGCTGTGACGAGCACGGAGTGAGCAGCCTGACCTATCATCCGGCGCTCAACGCGATCCTGGCCGTCACTACTCGGGGCAGCATCAAAGTCATCGATGGCACGTCCGGGGCCATTCTTCAGGCTTCAGCAATCCACGGTGAGTACGGGGGTCTGTCCTGTGGGCACTGGCTGCTCTGAGCTCACACCTGTTTACTGGGCATAGCCGCTCTTTGTGTGCCTGTGATCGCGTTCTGAAGGGCTTTCTGCTGTTCAACAGGGACTGCGAATTGACACGCCTGATCGCTGACAGCTACCATAGAGCAGTGCCACTAAATCTATTCCCAGTGGGGAGAATTTACTAAGACTAGAGCAGACAGAATCGGCAGCACCTCCTTTTAGTAACCAATCAGCTTCCATCTTCAGCTTGTCCAGTGAAGCCTTGTACATGAAAGATAGAAGCACATCTGCTCCAGTCTTAAAGTAGTATTGCACACTCGAACTTTTTTTTTCAATAATGAATCCAGATCATTCTAAAATACATTGCCCAATATAGTATTATTATTTTTTTTTTTCTGCCCAAGCACTTAGTCATCATGTTTCCAGATAGCTGGCTCCAACTCGCTCTGCTTCTCTGAACTTCTTGTCCAGTACAAGATTACAAGACACAGATCATTCTCCAGCTGTCATCCAGCTTGGAGAAGGGAGGAAGAGTGGGCAGCAGGGAGTGTCTTCTTGCCTTGCTGTGTCTGTGTTAGTGAAGACACACAGCTTACTACCACACACAAGGGTGGCTCTGAAGGACCCTATATGGGAGGGGCCACCCTAAAAAAAAATCAGGGCCAGTGCTCAGGGCACTCAGTCGATTGTGCAGGAAACTACAACTTTTAAACATAAAGGGGCAGCATCTAATGTAAGTAAATTTATCAGCATTTGAAATAGGTTAAAAACCTTTTGACTTTTAAGCTCCCTTTAAATTCCCCTGTAGCATTGTATTCTCTAGAGATCATCCACTTTGCTGTTGGCTGTGCATCTCGAAAATCTGATACTTTTCAGGCCCATTAAAGCCAAATTCTGGAAAAAAAAATGATACTTTATACACTGTACTGGGTGTGTAAATTGTCATTAAAAAGCTGCATGTTATGTGTGGAGGGCTGCTGTAAACTATGAAATGCTTACTGTGCAGCATGCCAACTCCTACACATTGTTGTTCTGGCCACCACGGGCAGTGGGGGTTGAGACTGGAGCAGTGAAGTGCTCCAGCCACTTCCCCTCCACTTCTTGCTGCTTGCACACTGTCCATTCACAGAGTGCCTTTTATTTTTCTTTAAAAAAATACATGTCATTCTGTGATTAGGGGAGGAGATGCACTGGTCAGCCATAACACTGACCACTGAGAGGTGAAGTGAATAACATTGATCATCTCATTACAATGGAACACAGAACATTTTTATCCCTGAAGTTGATGTGCTGGAAGCAGAAAAATGGGCAAGTGTAAAGATTTAAGTGACTTTGACAAGGGCCACATTGTGATGGCTAGACTGGGTCAGAGCAACTCCAAAGCTGCAGCTCTTGTGGGATGTTCTTGGTTTGCAGTGGTCCAAGGAAGGGAAACCAGCAACAGGGTTATGGGCAGCCAAGGCTCGTTGATTCACGTGAGGAGTGGAAGCTGGCCCATGTAGTCCGATCCAACACAAGAGCTAATGTAACACTAGCCCATGTCTACTGCCAAAAGCGCCTACAGTGGGCACAGGAGCATCAGAACTGCACAGCAGAGCAATGGAAGAAGGTGGTCTGGTCTGATGAATCACATTTTCTTTTACATCATGGGGAAAGCTGGTTGCATGTGTTTCTCACTTACCTGTGGAAGAGATGGTACCAGGATGCACTATGGGCAAAAGACCAGCCGACGGGAGGTAGTGTGCTTTGGGCAATGTTCTGCTGGGATACCTTAGGTCCTGCCATTTATGTGGATGCCACTTGGACATGTACCATCTTCCTAAACATTGTTGCTGACCAAGTACACCTCTTCATGGAAACGGTATTCCCTGATGACAGTGGCCTCTTTCAGCAGGATACTGTGCCCTGCCTGTAAAAATGGTCTGAGAATGGTTTGAGGAACAAGGTATTGACTTGGCCTCTGAATTCTCTAGATCTCAATACATCTGACCATCTGTGGGATGTGCTGGAAAAATAAAGTCCGATCCATAGGCACCCCATCTTGCAACTTACTGTACTTGAAGGGACTGCTACTGACGGCTTGGTGTCATATACCACAACATACCTTCAGAGGTCTAGCGGAGTCCAGGGCTATTTTATTGGCAAAAAGGGATCTACTCAGTATTAGGCAAGTGGTCATGTTATCGTTTATCAGTGTATATCATATGCCTGCCCACCCTCTCCTCTCATCCTAACAGGGTTACACACCAGTGTGATGTGCAAATTATCATTTTTCCCCCCCAAGAGTTTAGCTATAAGGTGTAGCTTGTATAATAGCAGTGTGGAGTGCAAATTTTTTTTTTTTTGATCATTCGCAGAGCATTCAGCAAGCTTTGTTGAAGCCTTTAAAGCACCGTTCAGCTTTTGTTTGGGAAGGTTACACACAAATCTCAATGGGAGTGCTAACTGCTACTTCAAACAAGCTCCTAGAAGGCTTCAGCACAACTTGCAGCTTGTTGAAAGTTTGCTGAAAAACAGCACTCCAATTAAAGTGGAATTTCCCTGACTTCCCCTCCTTCTAATTCCCCTGTTCCCTATAGTATAATCAGATGGAAGGAAGACCGTGTCTCACCTTATGCGGTGGTAAGTATATGTTTTTTTAAAGTCAGCAGCTAAAGTATTTGTAGCTGCTGACTTTAAATTTTCCCCTTTGCTGGTTGAAGTTTCTCTTTAAGATCTGGGTTTACATTCCCAAGGTGAAGGGTGCTTTAAAGATTTTGTGAAAGCCTGCTTGAACTTGGCCTAAAACACAACTGCAAGATATCTCCATTTTCTTCCTAGTGCTCAACACCACATTCCCTTGCGTCTTAAACATTTTTCTATAACACACTTTTTTTTCTCCCTAGTAGTCTACTGTGCTAATATATGATGTTGAGGGTCCAGTTCTCCCTGTGGCAGTGGTGGGAGGTTCTCTATGCTGCACAGAAAGGTGTTCATGTAGTAATTGAAGCCCAGGCCAGTTTGAAAATTCACCATCCTGGTGTATGCCCACGACACTATTGGATCACAGGAGTTGGGTTGAATGAAGCTGGGTGGTGGTGAGCCTGGAAGAGGGACCTGACCAACATTGAGTTTGTGCTCAAATCACCGGAAAAACTGACAGGCTGATTGGGAACTTAGCTATTGGTCTGTGGACAGGCGGATGTAAACAATGTGTCTGAGCCTGTTTAGGTCTGAGTAAAAACCTCCCATAAGGTTTTTGTCCTTTTCCGTTTTTTTTTTTTTTGGACCTGAATGTGACGGAGCAGCGGTAAAAGGATGTAAATGGATGCACGTCCGTTTACTTCCCTCTGCCCAAGGACCTAACATGGGTCTGTAAAGCTCCATTTTATTCCTTCATTACAAGATGGAGAAAAAACCCCCACAAAAGTGAGCAGGGAAATATTTTAGCAGGCAAGAGCCTTGTGACGGCACCAGCAGTGTGCGGTGTATCATACACTCCTGGAGCTGTCACTGTTTACATTTTTTAAACTGTATTTTTAGTGTGCTAGGCTGCAGTGACCTGTGATGGCATCCAGTGCGCTGTGGAAAAATGCAGCATGCCTGCATTTTTCACAGTGCACTGCCCATCACACCCATGTTGTGGTGTGAACAGGGCACATAGAAAACAGCAGTATAGAATAGAAACCATGCTGCATTCCTCTGCAGAGCGCCATGCTGCTCTGCAGGGACCTGAATGGAGTGTACATAAGAAAAGTCAACATTGGCCACTTCGGCAGTGTGTGATGCACATGCTGCTGCACTGCTGGTGCTGCCACAACATACTAGCCATCCAGTAGAAGGGAGAATTTTAGCAGACGTGCACAGTAGTGGCAGAGGAGTAACGTCGTCTGAAAGTTTTATCCAGGTCACAAATGCGACCAGGTGAGAAGGATTCCCCCCCCGTCTATAGACTAGATGAGACTTGTTTACTTTTGAGGCATACTTGCTTTTTAAAAGTGAAAGTAAAACGTACATAAATACATAGTCTCATAACAGAAACTCTCCCAGCCAGGCAGGTGCAGTAAACACCTAATTCATTACTATGGGAAAGCTGTCCATTTTTGTCTTTCCTTATGAGTAAGAAAACAGTTCCCTCAATCTATGTAGGATAAGGTAACATAAACTGATATTTATTATTAGGGTTTAAGGCCTCGATTACATGGACGGCATCTCTCGGTGGATCTCTTTAAGGCTAGGTTCAGACCTAACCGACGCGTGATCGTGTGCTAGTGCATACAGCGGTTGCCGCGCGGCCCCATTGGTTTCAATAGGGTTCCATCCATGCGGCAATTGCTAAAAAAAAAAGGTACAAGTACCTTTTTTTTTTTTTATGCGACACACATGTTCGACCGTGATCAATTGCACAGGCAGAATCGAGTGCGTGATCCGCCCGGCGTGACGTGTGTCATTAGAAAATGGCAAAAAGCACCTCCAGTGCAATCATGTATCTATTTGTGTATCACTCAGCATGAATTCAGAGATTTGAGGATCTACAGCCGACACTGTCCCTTCTGGAGGGTGGCTACTTTTGTTCTCCATGGTCCCAGTGTGTGTTGTAAAGTAGCCACAGCTCCAAGCTCGCCCCTATGATGGACAACAGTCTAGGGCTGCAGCTAACGATTATTTTCATAATCGATTAGTTAGCCGATTTATTACGTTCGATTAATCGGATAAAAAAAATGGCTCCAGTGATGGACTACTAGTTTGTACTGAGATTGTAGTCCATCACAGAAGCAAGCTTGGAGCGGTGGAAGTAAAAAAAAGTGTGGAGTGTAATATAGTACATTATACAGCGGCTCAATGCAGAATACCAGCAGCTTTAGAGGAATACAGCAAATCGCAGCAATAGTATATACTATAATGTACTATTGCTGAGATTTGTAGTCTTCTGTAGCTGGCCGTATTCTGCATTGCACTGTATATAATGTATTATTGCTGGGATCTGATGTATTCCTCTAT